CCTTGGATGCCTCATCCTTCTCTTCCGTCGGGGCATGGGCGCAGATGAGCGAGATGTTGAAGAATCTCGCTTTGACGCGGATTGTGGCTAGACGCTCGTCCACCGGGGTGAACGACAGTACTCGGCGACGGAGTCTCTCTCCCACCACAAATCCAACTCCGAATTTGCGCTCCTTTACATGGCAGCTGTAGTAGATGTCGCAAGGCCCCAGACATTGCTTGCCTTTCGCCGTCCATCGCATTTCTTGGATGGCGGTGATGTCAGCTTTTGTCCTTACGAGGACGTCAACCAGCCGGGCGGAGGCACCTTCCCCATTAAGGGTCCGGACGTTCCAGGTGCATGTCCTCAAATCGTAGTCCTTTAAACATTTGCTGTGGTCGTCATCATAAGGGGGGGGTCTCATCCGAGGCTTTGCCTTCTTCTTCACTGGAAGTGGTTTTTAAGTGGCGGGTCCCAAGCCCAGCGCACAACCCATTGCTGGGACGGGGGTGGTTTCGCAACCAAATACACGTTTATATAGCGAGCCGCTTGCTCCAAGCAGACACCCGCTTGCAGCCGCCCCTACTGGTGAACAGACGCTGAAGACTTCAGTGAGCCCTTAAACCGAATAAGTCAGAGTGGCCCCACCGAAGCTCCCTCTCTTTCTGCCGTGACCCAAGGCTCCACTCGGATTGGTTACCGCATCTCGCACATGGGTTGCTCACGTTGCCCAGAGTGCGCGATCGAGGACGCAAGAGTCGGGATTGAGTATAGCCATGCACCTGTAACTGCATACCCAGCGCAATGACTATACTCCATTGCACTCCAATGACTATACCCCATTGCACTCCAAAAAATGTACGTACACTTTCATAATCTACTTAACTTGCAGTATATATTTCTTTTTAATTCCAGATTGCTGGGTTTCCAAATGTCTTGGGCTGTATAGACGGCAGTTATATTTCGAGCAGAAAACCAAGACATAAAATACGCTCCACTTACGCGAACAGACACGATTGCGTGTCCATAACTTTGCATTTGTGATGCAAAGTTACGTTTTCTGGACGTATGTACGGAAGATCCAAGCAAAATTCACGACTCAAGAAGTGAATAATTTAGTTTTAAGTTCTATAAATCAACTTGTAAGGGAGCTGGCGGAGTCATCGTCGTCCTCATCTGAGGATGAAATGGATGCACTTGTGCTTGGAAGGGACTTTCAGCCTAGAGTGGAAGACTTCATAGGAAATGTGGTTGTTTTGTACTCTGATTCAGATGTAAATAACGCTATAACAATAAAAAGTTTAATTTTTTTTTAACACATACATACATTTTACAGTTTAAGAAAAATTTCCGTATTAGTCGAGGACT